TTGCTAGAAAGGTACTTTGCCATTGGTCCTCGCCCCTGCTCAGAACTACCCAAAGTTGTAAGTTGCCTCGGAAGTATACTAATTACTTTTATACAATAACCTTATACCTAAGATGGGTTTATGATAGCAGTAACTATGCATTTTTTTTTCTTTTCAGCCTGTGAATGCAAACAGATTTCCAGTACCAACCTATGCAGCCAAGCAGCCTCCGCAGTTTCCATCAAGGTTGGAAGGAACTGGGTTTAGATGACACATTAAAATCCAGGCATCAGTGCCTTGCAACTTCCCATTTAAAGTTGACATAGGGCAGGGTATTTAGGTAATTTAACTTGGAGCATGTCTGAATAAAACACAATTTGTGGGAAGGCTTTCTAAGAACTTTTATATGAATGTTGTTATAGTAGTATGTCAGAAAGAAGCACTAAAGAAAACTGAGTCCAACCTCCATCCTGTATAGCTTTTGGTGTGTATAGATTTCACAATCAAGGACCTTAAAATAATCAGGGGTAGAAAAACTGGTGGTGCCGGCTTTCTCACAGAGAATAGCTAGAGAAGCTAGATAGCAGGAGGGTGTGACCATTTGGAAAGGAAAAGAAAGACCCAGGAGGTAGGGGATTGTGAGCTGAGGCCAGAGCAGAACACATGGAGACAACTGGCTTTGCAGAACACTTTTCTGTTACAGATCTGTTCACCTGTTTTGATGACAAGAGAGGAACCAGGGAGTTGAAAGGAGCTTTTGAGGAGCTCAGTGGGCAGAGGAGGGAAAATTAGAATTCTGCCCAGGGACATCCAAGGCCAACCTCTCGGGTTTTGGGGACCCAGGGACAGATTGATTTCTACACAAAAGAGCCAGGAATACAAGTGTAGAAATTGTGGATAAAACTAAACAATACACTGCAAAAATAGAAAACCAGGGATTTTGTAATTAGTGTTCATCACACATGGGTTTAAAATAATTCTGATCATACTCGTAGTCCAGGTTGAGACTTCAGCCTAGAACTGGAAAGTTAAAAAAACATAACAAAACAAAACAAAAACGCAGATTCCAGAATCTAACACCACCAGAACTGAAGTGATAGACTCAATACACAAAATTTGCAGGACATGTGAAATATGTTGCTATCTTTATGTCATATGAAATGCATCTGACTCCTCCCACTCCTCAGCCATATTTTCATATCCAGTGGTTTCTGCATGTATACCTTATTGTTCAGGAAGAGTGCATTGAAATCCCACTGAGGATGAATAGAAAAATATATAAATTGAGAGTTGTTTTCTAGAGAGTGCTCTAGTGTGGCGTGGGAGGTGGTGGGTATTAAGTTGGTGCAGAGGTTAGGAAAGGTGTCCACAGCATAGAGTCTGCATATTGAGATGAATGTGCGTAAGTAAATGGCTTGTTTAAATGTCAGGTTTGGCACCTGAGGGATCTGGTTTGAGGTATCTGGTGTTCAGTCCTGTGTGTGAACATAGACTTAGTTTTATATTAGGTAGTGGTTTGATGCTCATAATTTAAACATTTATATTGTTTTTTATGTGTATGAGGGTTTGCCAGTATGAATATAAGTATGTGTGTGTATGTAAGTATGTATGTGCACCATGTGTGTTGGTGCACATGGAGGCCAGAAGAGGATGTCAGATTCCCTGGAACTGGATGTTTAGACAGTTGTGGACCACCATATGGATTCTGGGAACAGAAACTAAGTGTGTATGAGTGAGAGAGAAGAGTGCACATGCTTCGTGCACAAGGCCCGTACCTCAAATCTATTGGCGGAACAAGATGCCACTACACCTGGTACTAGAAACTTAGCCAACTACCCATGGCTAGTGAAGTCATGGATTTTAGAGGAGAAATCTGTTTATTTTTAATGACTGAAGCTAAGCCTTTGCCTCAAGTCAGCTACAGAAAGCCGGAAGACCTGTGGGTTTTTTTCTTGCATGTAGTTAATTAATTCTTCACTCCTAGAGATTTCTATATATCTATAGATCTATTTTGATCATCCCAACTCCCTCCCACTCCAGCTCTTCCTAGATTCCCCTCACCATGATCTCCTTGAAACGTCAAGTCTTCTCTTCCTAGTCCTCTAGTTCACTCAGTGCCTTCCTTGTGTGCTTGGCATAGGGCCATCCCTTGTAGCAGCTACCCACAAATTGTCACCATACAACCAAAGTGCTTCATTTGTCTTTTACAATTTGATTTCATAGTTTCATAGGCTTTCTTTTTAAAAACAAACTGGAACTTTCACACTGCATTGATTATGGAGTAACATCAATATAAAGTAATGATGAACCTCAGGGGGTGATGTGCATGCCACATGCAGGATATCCCCAGCACCCACTTCTCAGTCGGCAAAGGTGTACTATCTGCAACCCCAGCACTGGGGAAAGGTGTGGGCGGAGACAGGGGATGCTCTAGAGCTCACCGCCAGTCTGCCTAGCCAATCAGTGAGCTGCAGAGTCAAAAATAAGAGGGGAAGTAGCTAAAGAAGACCCCTGGCCCTGACCTCTGATTTTATCACACACACACACACACACACACACACACACACACACACACACACACACAAAGATAGTGATTCCCCATTGTAGACTAGTTAGATTGACTTTGACTATTCTAAAACTGGGTCCCCTTAGCCACTGAATACCCTATAGACAATAATCTCAGAGCAGAGTAGAAAGTGTCCTTACCTGTGGTCAGAGAGGCTGAGGGTAGTGTTCTATTGAGCTTGTTGTGAACCCAGCATGATGTCATTCAGTCCACACCCTCTGCTAATTTATTTTTCCTCCTCACAGGCCACCTCCACCACAGCCAAAAATATCGTCTCAGGGAAATTTGGTTCCTGCTCGGCCAGCTCCTGCACCTCCATTGTACAGTTCCCTCACCTGATGTGAGGTTCTTATTTCAGACATCTTCAGGGAACTGAGCAAGTGCTTTTTTTTTTTTTTTTTTTTCCTGATGTTTTCTTGAAAAGCCTTTCTCTTGCAACTATGAATGAAAACAAACTACCACAAAACAAGCTTTATTAACAAAGAAACAGTGGGGAGCTGAGAGATTCAGGAACATGCAGACACTACAGGAGATTTAGAGTTAACATTTCCACCATTAAAATGTCCTCTTTGGTCATTTGTTTATCTAATGCACTTAATGTGGATTAAGTTATTTTGAACACACTATTGAAATGATTCTCAAATTAACTGTTGGTGTAAGATTCGTCATTATGTGCTTAAATGTAATCCTGACTTTTTGACCTCAGTTATTAATAGTTTCTGGTTGAACATTTGAACATGTATTAACCTAGGAAAACTGACTAACTGCCACTAATGTCTATGTTTTCATCTTGCATGGATTAATAGCCATTTACACAGACTCCTGTCTCTTATTGTCTCCACAAATAAGCAGCTATCATGAAGAATTCACAAGAACCACAATTACTAGGTCGTGGTATAATTTGAAAGTATGACATATGGTGTGTATTCAGTTAATTGGCTTCCATTCTTAGGATCTTTGGGTATAATAACTATGATAGAAATTGATTTAACACCAAAGCAGTTCCTGGCTTCCATTCTTTTATGATCTTTCAACTATAGTGACTATGTTAGCAATTGATTTAACACTAAATTTTCTTTATACATCATGGTAAAGCATTGTGGTGGTGTTGCTTTAATTGAAGTGCACACTTTATGGTACGAGGTGTTTAGTAGATCTGAGCCGATGGGTGTGGATTGATCAAAGCATGGAGAATGTCTTCCACCAGATGAGCTGTTGTAAAACCACTTGAGAAATCATGAGCACTTTAACTCACAACTCTGAATTTCAAATCTTGATATTGAGTCATTTAGAATGTTTACATTTGCTAAGGTGTGCTGGATCTTGTCTCTTGACTAATGTTTTCATAAAAATTAGGGTGGGGAAAGGAAGGGAGAAATGATTTTCTTAGATAACTACAGAAATTATCATGTCCTCTGTGAGTTACTATCTCAGCTGTATTAAAATGAGTTTGTACTTTGAAAGGAATGATATTGACACTAAAATTTTAAACACTTAAATTTTTTCATAATCTTTCATAAAGAAGTTTAATAATAGGTATATTAACTGAATTTCATTAGTTTTTTTAAAATAATATTTTGGTTTGTGTATATGTACATATTAAAATAAAAATATTTACAACAAATAAAATACTTGAAGTTACTGTTTGGTCTTCCAGTTACTTTCTAAGTACACAACTATTTGGTCTTATTAATTTAAGTGTTCTGACTTTTGCTAAATGTGCACAATGGCTGTTTTAGGAAAACACATTAAAAGATAAAGTTGATTTTTTAGGATAAGTATTTTAACAGCCGGGTATGTACTAACACTGGTGAGCCAGCCCTAGTGAGAAATAAAGTTCCTCAAGCAGAACCTCTGAGGAAGGAGAGTGTTGACTGACAGGAGTCTGCCTTTAGAAGCACGTGGCTACAGGGCCGAGGTTTCAGCTAGGACGTGGGCTGAAATGTGGGTGCTGTAGAATATCAAGGATCTGCCGTTGCTACATGAATCAATGAATCGCACTGGTAACTTTCTAAAAAGGAAGACATTACATGAATTTTAGTCCAAGTGCAGCCGAGAACCAGGTTGGAAGAAAGCATGGTGGTGAGACCAAGGAGCCATGTGCTTGTGGAAGCATAGACCCAGAGAAAATCATTTTACTCTTTCTTGAAAAATTTCTCCACACATCTTCAAAATAAATCTTAGTTTAGCCTTAGAAAGAATACTTACTATATTGAGCCTTGAGGGGTGGAGGGCAGCTGCACACCATCCCAGTCTCCAGCTCCCCATGTGCGGTTTTTGTAGCAGTGGAGACCAGTGTGTGAGCTGAGGTGAGTGGTGGGTGGCAAATGGAGGTGGGGTAGGGGTGGGTACGCTCCAAGGATGTGGCTCACCAGAGGCCTCAGGCACGTGCCACACGACCCCTGGCCCCCTGCAACGGCTTTGCAACTGACCGGAGGGTGTTCCAGGAGGCGCCATGCTGGGCGCCATGCTGTGCCCACTGCTGTTGGCCATGCTCGGGAGCGTGCTGGGATCAGGACCTGGTGAGCGCTGCATGGGTCTGGCACTCTGAGTTTGAGGGATACTTCTCCTGTAGGTCTATCATGCACATCTTAAAGCTCAAAAAGCATATCCCCAAAGAGCACTCCTACAGCTTCTGGAGCCCCACGTAAACTCCAAAAAGCACCTTCCACAGATGATGGGCATGCCATAATAATTCATCTGGAAATACGAACGAAAAGCCAATGAATGAAAAATCCCAAGCTCGGAGACAATTTGTAGAGTGCATATGGGGGCTGGGCAGGCAGAATCCTGCCTGTGAGCTGGTTTAAATGCTCACAGGTTGTGATGATGAAGTTTTGAGTCCAGCACTTGTCTCTAGCCCTGAGGTGTTACCAGTTGTCCTGTAGAACTTGTGGAATGCATCTTTTGCTTCCATTTCAATATTCCTCACAGTCTGGGAGAGCAGAAAGGTGAGGGCAGGGTGCCAGCATGGTCGGATTCTGATGCACGTCCATATTAGGAATTAAAATAGAAGTTTAAGAATGTGTAGTAGCACTGAAAACAACAAAGTCATACCTTTTACATGTTGACACAGTTCAAAAATAAAACTGTCATGGAAAACCAAAACTAAGAAGGGATCTCCAGGGGAATAATAGAAAGTTGGTATAGCTTTGCTTTTCCACAGATCTCCTTAACACTTGCTTCGATAGAAGACACATAGATTGTATTTCTGCTGCTTCTAGTCTCTGCTGCTTGTTTGACTTGAAGTACAGAAAGGACTTTTGTAGCCATTTCAGATAGCCACAGGATCTCAGCATGCTACACCAAAACTGGGCCAAGAGAAAAGGAATAGTTGCAATACAGAATCTAAAAACATATCAGCAAACTTTACTGTGCTTTTTATTTTCTAAGTTAAAATATATCATCAGTTACCTTCCTCCCCCAATCCACCCAACCCCCCAAACTCCCTTGCCTCCTTTTATTTAATTGAAATTAATTGATATATATATGTATGTGTGTGTGTATATCTATACAGACTGCAAATTTTCTTCATGAAATTCAGTGGAATATCAATATTGAATTTTGATCTTTATGCACGTGTATTTTAATGTGTTATCTTTAATTTTTAAAACTAGGAAATACAAAAATTACCAACAGCTTTTAAAAGATTTTTTTTTAATGTAAACTTCACATGTATGGGTATTTTGCCTGCATGTAAGTGTGTATGCCACTTCTGGGCCTGGTGCCCTTGGAGGTCAGGAGATGGTGAATTTGAGAGCATTCCTTGGAACTGGAGTTAGAAACAGTTGTCTGCTGCCATGTGGGTGCTGGGAATCCAACCTAGGTCCTCTGGAAGAGCAGCCAGTGCTCTTAACCTCTGAGCCACTTCCCCAGCTCCTCAAAACTTTTTTTTTAAAGAAAAAAAATGTTACACATCGCTTTTTAGGGCAGTTTCAGATTCACAGTGAAAGAGAACAGAAAATAGTGTTTGGATATAGCGCCTGCTCTCCATCCTCCTGCAGGGGTCAATGTGATGCTTCAGGACTGTATTTGTTCTAGCCAATGAACCTGCTTGCACTCAGGTTCTGTATGTTCTGTGTTTTGCACATGGATGCCCATCACAACAGTATCACAGAGAGTAGCTTCACTTTCCTGACAAACCTTCATGCTCCTATTCATCTTCTTTCCCACCATCCCTAAGCAACCACCTTTCACTGTTTGCCTTCTCCAGACATGGAATCATTCATGATGGAGCCTTGCAGACAGGCTTCATTTAACCCGAAGCATGTAATTTACGATTCCTTAATGTCTCTTTGTGGTTCAATAGCTTATTTATTTGTAGTGTTGAAAAATACCCATTCCATTGTATCAACCACAGTTTATCATTACCCACTGAAAGATCACAACATCTTCCCAGCTTTAATAGCAATGAGGACAGCTTGTTTACATGCTTGTTCAGGTTTTACATGACTATAGGTTCTTATTCCTTTGGACAGTTACCTGGTGTCATTACGATGATAAGAGGATGTAGCAGTGTCTCGTTGTTTGCACTTACATTTTCCTAATGGCAGATGCTGTTGAAATCTTGATATTTGGCTTCGAGCCCAGCCTTCCAACGCTGAGCTATCCCTTCAGCCCTGCTGTCCAGACCTTCTTATAGGCCCACTTGCTCTTTACTTTCCTTTGAGAGGGGTCTATTCAGGTTATTTGTCCATTTTTATTTTGGGTTGTGTGCTATTATCTTTAAAAATTCTTTACATGTTTTGGGTAATAATCTTTTATCAGATGTGTTTTGCTTTGTTTTTAAGCTTTTTATGTGTAGATATCTCGTGTGTGTGTGTGTGTGTGTGTGTGTGTGTGTGTTAGTGTGGGAGAACATGATACAGACATCAGAGAACAGCAACCTCAGATGTTAGTTCTCTTCCTGTGCTTTATTTAAAGATGCACTCTTATTTCTCTCTCTTCGTAGGTAGCCCTTGCACTTGTGGGAATTCTGTCTCCACATCCAGTCTCTGTGTAGGATCAATGACTGGAATTATAGGTGTGGTCCCATGCCTAGATTTAGTTGGGTTCTGGAGATTTGAACTGGGGACCTTATACTTGCATGATGTGTGTTTTATCCCTGAACTACCTCCCAATCCAGATCTGCTTTTTGAATGTTTTTTTTTTTTTCCTCAGCCCCCTTGGCATTAACTTTTTGCAGAGCATAAGGTTTATTTTTGATGCTCTTTATTATTTTATTGCATCACTTCCAATTCTGTTTTAAAAAATGTTTTAGAGAACATAATATGTTGCTATTTACTATAGAAGCCATGTTACTATAGACCCCTTAAAATCCTCCCTCCTGTGCAGTCAAACATTTACAACGCTGACAAAACATCTTCCTAACTTGCTCCCACTCGCAGCAAAGGATAGACCAGTCTACTTCTACGAGCTCAGGTTTTTAAGATTCCTGCCTAAGACAGAGTTCATATGACTTTGCTCAGTCGCTACATTGGTAAATCTGAAACAGAGGCCCGTCTGACACTGGCATGTGGCATAGTAAGATGGCTCTAATGTGAAGGGCCAATATTATATGGCTTGTGATTGCACTTTCTACTCTGTGGATGGATTATACACTATGTATAGCACATTCCCTTAAGAATCCTCAGAGTTTTGAGTGGTTCACATTGAGTTGATAGGTATTTTTAGTCTGTCTGAAAATTTTAGTTGAGAAAAATTGAAGTGTAAGAACATGGCTTATCCTTGTTTGGATAGTCTTCTAGATTTCACAGTTTTCTCTATTTCCTTATTCTTCAGGGTTTTTTGTTTGTTTGTTTGTTTTGTTTGTTTTTGCTTTTGTTTTTGTCACTTTCATGAAAGGGATCTTTTTAAAATATTGTTCACTACCATTACTACTGAAACAATTGATATATTAATTTTATGCTTCATTGCTGTTGTTCTATTTTTGACCCTCTGTTGTTGTTGTAGATTATCATCGCTTCCTCTACTTATAATGGGTGTGTTCTTGTCCCTCACTTCCAGGATAGAGTCTGTCTGTAAACAATAGAAATGATTGTGACTGACTGTTCTAGTACCTACTTTTATAGTAATGTGAGTAAGGGTTTCCACTGAGCAGATGTCAGTTGTACAAATGAATCATCTTTGCAAAAGTTGAGTTTTTAATTGAAATGACTTTTTTTTTTGTGTGCTTATTATTGTGGGGGGTTTGGGGTTCGAGAGCCATGGCACATGGAGGGAGGTCAAAAGACAACTTTGTAGAGTTGGTTTCTTCTACCTTTACCTGGGTTCCAGGAATTGAACTCAAGTCACCAGACTTGCATGGTAAACACCTTTACCTGTTAAGCCATTTTCTCTGCTCAAGTGTTTTGTTAGTGTTTGTCATTCAAAAGAATCAGGAACAGGTATCTACTTGGCCGAAATCTTTATTGAAGTAATTTTTGTCTGTGAAGGGTTTTTTTGTTTTCTTCATTTGTTGTATGACCATACACTTTTACTATTTCTATATGTGCTTAATTTGACACTATACAAAATTAGTTCTGTTTGGTTTTGGTCAGTAAAAGGATGGAACTTTCTGTGGTATATGTTACCCTCAAAGTCCACAGTTTCCACCAAGTACTAATCATCAAGGAAGATATTTTCTCATGGACTCTAGACTGCTCCATCAGTAATGATTAATTTTCTTGCATACATAGTGTACATGTGTTTGATCAAGACTCCAGCATAGCTTCTGCCTAATAAGACCTGTGATATACCTTCCTTCAGGCCATGTATCCAAGATGTCAATGAAACATTTACCAGGAAAAAAAAAATCCTCTCTTGATATATTAGCTTTCTATTGCTGACATAAAACGTTGCCATATGCATACACAGTGGTATAAGCAGTTTGAATTTGTTAATGTACACTACTTTAACCAGTGTTTGATTGTTGTGAAGAGACACCATGACCTTGGAAATTCTTATAAAAGGAAGCATTTAATTAGAGCTGGTTTAGAGGGCACAAGTTTACTATTGTCATGCGGGAAGCCTAGGGGCCCACTGGTACTGGAGAGGTAGCTACGAGTTCTACATACAGAATTGCAGGCAGTAGCAAGAGACAGACACTGGGCCTGGTTTGGGCTTTGGAGACAGCAAAGCCCACCCCCAGTGACACACTTCCTCCAACAAGGCCACGCCTCCTAATCCTTCTCAGGTGGTGCCACTTCCTGATGACTAAGCATTCACAGGGAACTATTGGGGCCATTCTTACTCAAACTACCACATGCACTTATGTAGACCCTAAGTGAGTTCCGATGGATTTAAACAAACATCTTGGGTATGTTGTGTTTCTTCTGAAGGCTTTAGCAGATCATTGATTTCCTTTGCTTTTCCAGCCTCCTGTAGCTGTCTGCACTTCTTGGCTTATGGCCCCTTTCTTAAACTTTAAAAGTCATGGCATTAGCCTGAGTATTTTTCACATTGCTAGTTCTCTGCTTCTCCCATTTCCTTCCTCTCTCTTTGAGATCCTGTTAAGTCATGGAGATAAGCCAAGATAATTTCCCTATTTGAAGGCTGGGGGATAGTAACCTTACTTCTGTTTTGCCATAGGTCCTGCATAGGTTCTGTGGATTTAGATGTTGTGGGATTTCCATCTGTTTATTTGGGGAAGCAAGCCCTAGGATGTGGCCTTCATCTGCCTGTGACAATTTATAAGTTGAGTGGTGGGTCTCTGCTCTTTTGCTGGATAGCTCTCTTGGGTGGTGAGAGCAGAGGGGGCGGCTTGCTGTTGATGTTCTTTACCCCTGGCTAGAACAGCTGGGTCAGCAGGGGCATCTAATCTGTTCTGTATCAGTGAGTTTTACCCCTATCTTACAACTAAATAAATTCTTGAGAACCTTTAGCAGACTTTCCTGGACTCATGCTACATCAGGACCTGTATAATTTTGGGAGGGGTTGTTCTTTGTACCATAGGTAGTGAGATGTAAGAGAGCTATTAGAACCAAAGATCTGAAAAATTGTTGTTCAAAGTTTTGTGTTGATTGTAGCCACTATGATGTTGATTTTTTTCTGGTAGAGGTTTTTATTTTCTCAGTGCAAATTTGTGTCTTGATAATTATAGTTTCCTTTTCTTTTTACAGTCTCTTGGCTGTGCTCATTCCTCTCTTTAACCTGAGATATTATTTCCTGAAATTTCTTTAAGTTGGTCTGTTGGTTATTTTTTTTTTAAGGTCATTTATATCATAGAAAGCCTCTCTTTTTCCTTCAACTGGCAAATAATCTTGGTGGGCATATTGGTAAGATGCATCGTTCCAGGCTCTTCTACCTTTCAAAGTTTCCATTAAGTCATCAACAGTTATTATAATGGTTCTTCCTTTATATGTGACTTGTATTGTATCTCTAGCTTTCAATATGCTTTCATTGTTTTGTGTACTTAGTGGTTTAACTATGACATAACATGCAGAGTTTCTTTCCTAGCCTTTTGTATTTGACATTCTATGTGTTTCTTGTATCTGTATGGGTGTGTGTTGCAATTTAAGAAAAGCAGTTTCCAAGAGAAAGCTGCCATTTAACAGGGTTCAAGCAGAGGGTTCTTTGTTTGTTTGTTTGTTTTGTTTTTGGAGGGGGGAAGGGATCATAAAAAAGGGAAAGGCAAGCAGGGAAGATTGGCCTCTGGGGATAGGAACAGCAGGAGGAGAGAGGAAGAAGGGGCAGAGAGGGGGAGGACAGACAGAAAGAGGGAGAGAAAGATGGGAGGTGGGCAGGGCCCTTTTAAAGGGGAACATAGTGAATGTGCACAGATGGTGCTCTTACTGGCTGCAGTGTGTCCCTCACCACAAGTGGCCCCACTCACAGAAGGCTTGGCCCACTGATGTCAATTGTTAATCAAGAAAATTGCCCACAGACTTGTATAGGGGGTCAGTCTTATTTTTTTTTATTTTAATTTTTTTATTCATTTTACATACCAAGCACAGTTCCCCCTCTCCCTGTCTTCCTGTTCTCCCACCACCTACCACCAACCCACCTTCATCTACTCCTCAGAAAGGGTAAGGCCTCCCATGTGGGGAGTCGTCAAAGCCTGGCACATTGTTGAGGAAGGACCAAGCCCATGCCCTGTACATCAAGGCTGAGCAAAGCGTGCCACCTAGGGAATGGGTTCCAAAAAGCCAGCTCATTCATCAGGGATAGATCCTGGTCCCACTGCCAGGGGCCCCTCAAACAGACCAAGCTACACAACTGTCTCCCTCATGCAGGGGGCATAGTTAGATCCCATGAAGGCTTGCCAGCTGTTGATCTAGAGTCCACGAGCTTCCACAACCTCAGGTCAGCTGTCTCTGTGGTGTTTTCCTTGTTATCTTGATCCCTAGGGGTCAGTCTTAAGGGCTCATTTTCTCATTGGATCTTCACATCTCCCAGATGTGTCAAGTTGACAATAACCTAACCAGAACAGTGATGTGTGACGTTCTTCTACTTTTATTCACATTTGATTTTTTATTTTAAAAGTTCAACAATGTCATTAGACTATGGTTCACCTTTGAGTCATTCCTAATCATTGTTCCCAACAGGCTCTGCCCTTTTTAGTCTATTGTTTTAGAGTCTTTTATGTCAACAAGGTTTCCTTGAATTATATCTTGGGTTAGTTTATTTTCATCTCTGTGTTTTTGTTGTGACCATGTTTCTGAGTATGCTGAATACCTCCTTGTGTCTTTCATGGCCATTTTGTCTGTTTTCTAAATTAAATGTTTTCGGTGTTTTGTTTTAATATGGAACACTTCATGAGTTAATCTATCAAGTTTGCATGGGGCCACTAATGTTCTCTGGCTAATTCCAGTTTTAGTGCTTGTACTCATGAGGTAAGCACGCAGTGATGAGCACTCATATTGCTAAGTAAACCTTATGAAAGGAGCTGAACATTTAGTCAAATTAAAGGCAAGCTTACTGATTTTTTTCTCTCTGCAGATTCTCAAAGTTCATCGATACAAATCATATTTCCAGAGAAAATTGAAGAGAGTACAAGCTCAGAAGTAAGAAACATCAATTCATTGTATAAAGTATTACATAAAATTTCTTATTTGTAACCCATAGCTATGGAACACACAAATTGTATGATACTATTATGTATGTCTCTAATATGATAAGGAATGTAAAGTCTTTATGGTAAAAGCAAACTTAAAAATTAGAATGATCTACTTAGAAAAACTACTTTTTAAAATCCTTCATGTTATTTTTACATATTTTACATATATAAAATAACAGAAAAATTAAGTGAGATGTCTGGAGATCCAGGAGGAGAATAATATTCCCCCCAAAAGTGGATTTGGTCACACCTTCTTAACAAAAATCTTTCCCCTTCTGCTTCATTCCTGTACCCATAGCTCTCCAAGGGGGAATTTTTATGCCAATGTTTTAGAAAGCAAAATCATTTATTTTATTCACTGATTTTTGTAGTTGGTATTTTGCTATGCAAAGTGTCTTTAGGAGTTTTAAATCAACACTTAAATTATACCTGCCTTATAAGTAATAAATCTCCAAGCGCCTCTCTCTCTCTCTCTCTCTCTCTCTCTCTCTCTCTCTCTGTGTGTGTGTGTGTGTCTGTGTGCACAAAGGTGTGTGTGCTTGAGGTCTAGAGGCTGACTTCTGGCATCATTCCTTGGGAGCCGTCCACCTTGTTTTATGAGATAGGGCACCCTCCCTCCCACCTGGAGCTGGCTGGTGAGCTCTAGGGAGCCTGTCCTCACTTTTCCAGTACTGGGATCATAAGCGTGTGCCAAACGTAACTGTTTTGTTAAAAATTCATGTTCTGGGGATCACCTCAAGCATGCTTGCAAGGCAGGCCTTTCACTGGCTGAGCCATCTCTTTAGCACGAGATCACTTAAAAATCTTTTAATTAGCAATTTGATTGTACAAGGCTATCCATTTCTGCTCCTGTCTCTTTCCCCTCCCACAAACAGTCCCCCTCTACTTTCATACCACATATGTGATCTAGGTTCCACATGGGAGGGCAACATGTGTTTACTAAAGCACAGTTTTCATGGTGCAGAAACCAACCATGGTAACGGGCTCCTTGATCATGAATATGCAACTTGCAAACATGGCACATTCTATTGTGGAATATTTCTCTGCTCCTAAATAGTTCCCCTCCCCAGATCTCAGCAACCATTGATGATCACCCTGATTTTAATTAGATTTACCTGTTTGTGATAGTTATCAGGTCATTGGTCTCTTAAAATTAACATGGAGTACCATGTTTATTTATCCATTAACCAGTTGCTAGACATTTTGGCCCATTTTCAGATACTTGCTTTTGTGAAAAAAATTTTTTATGAACTTACTGTCTTTTAAATTTTTTGTTTATGAATATTCATGTGTGCACAGGTATTTTCCTTTCTTTTGGTTAAATTTTTAGCAGTAAAATTGGTAAGTTTATGATTAATGCATTTAGAAGCTACCATGTAGGTTTCTACATCATGTGACCACATCAATTTATATTTCACAAGAGTAATATTGGAGCATTCCAGTTTTTGCATGTGAAAATGAGTATTTGATGTAGCCATGGGGTGTGGGGAGCAGCAGCTATGGCTTTCATCCATACTTTCCTCTAAATGTGTGACAACCTCCAGGAGTCCATTAGCTGTTGATGCACCTTTCCATACAAGCATTGTTTCAAATCATTCATCCACTTCAAGTCTGGATGCATTTACTTTTGAATCCCTAGCAATCATTGTATATTCAGTTCTAAGGGATGTAATGTTCTTGTCCCAATGTATGGCTTGCTTTTTTATTTTTCCCAAAATATTTGAACCACAAACACAGTTTTGATGGTGGTTTGTTCCTTTGCCCTTTATGGGCCTTGTGTTTGGTTTTCTATTTGAGAACTTAGTTAAGTACTGAATTGCTCTCCCTCAAACTTTATATGTGGGATCTGTATCCGTCGCTGTGACTGTGTCCAGAGGCCATGCCTTCAGGGACATACCTGAAGCTGAACAAGGTCATGAGATAAAGATGCTAGTCCAAGTCTTTGTGTGTGTCTATGGCTGTGTTGAACACTGAGTCTGAAAGCTGCTTGAAGAAGAGCTTTATCACATCTTTGAGGTCCTACTTTGTCCTGTGTGGGGAAGCCAGGGAAGGAGCTCAGGGCAGGAACCCAGAGGCAGGAAGAAAAGCAGACGCAAGGAGGAGTGATGCTTCCAGACTGCCCGTCATGGTTTAATCGGCAGGCTTTGTTTTGTTTTTTGTTCTGAGTGGAACTTGTTATATAGACCAGGTTAGTATCAAACTCCTGATGACTCACCCTGCCTCATGAGTGCTGGGATTAAAGGCATGTGCCTGCTTTCCCATGCAGCTCAAGAGCACCTGAGTGCAGCTGGCACTGCCCATAGTGGTCTGGCCCCTCCCACATGAATCATTAATCAAAAAAATGCCTCTCAGATTAGACTCGCCTACAGGTTAATCTGATGGAGGTATTTTCTCCACCGAGGTTCCGTCTTCCTGGATGACACTAGCTTGTGCCAAGTGAACAAAACAACAACAAAACAAAAACTAAACCCTAACCATCACAGCCATAGACTACACCAGTTCACGTGTGCAAAGCAAGAGTCTTAGCAGGGTAGAAGGCAGAAGGAAGTACCCAGGAGACCCTGCTGCCTCCTACTGGGCTTCCGGCCTCCCAAACTAGGAGGAAGTGATTTTCTCCTATGGAAGCTGACTTGGCAGTGGTTATCTTTCTTGCAGTGTTTACTGTTTAGGCATACAGAAGAAGCTAATACAACTTTTTAGGGCATGTACAATGTGGTGCTGTCATAATCAGCTGTTAACATGCCATGCTGCGATGGTGGTTCTCAACCTGTGGGTTAAGGCCCTTTTGAGGATGACCAACCTTGTGACAAGGGGTCACCTAAGACCACCAGAAAACACAGACACTTACATTATGATCCATAACAGTAGCAAAATTACAGTTATGAAATAGCAACAAAAATGATTTTATGGCGGGGGGGGGGTCACTACAACGTGAGGAACTGTGTTAAAGGGTCACAGCATTAGGAAGGTTGAGTTCTCAGGGATGAGGAATCCTCATTTGAGGAATTGCCTTCACTGGATTGGCCTGTGGCCACATCTGTGGGGCATTTTCTTACTTGCTATTTGATGCAGGGAGGGTCCCGCCCACTGTGGGCAGTGCTATCCAATGGCAAGTGCTTCCGGGCTGTATAAGAAAGCAGCTGTCTGTGAGCGGGAAGCAAGCCAGTAAGCACTATCCCTCCGGTGTTCTCTGCTTTAGCTCCTGCGGCAGCCTCCCTGGATGATGGACTATAATCTGTAAGTCGAAAGAAACCCTTTTTCTCCACCAAGTTGCTTTTAGTCAGTGTTTATCTCAGAACAGAAACTGAAGTAGGGCAGGTTTGTAACAGGACAGGACTTTGGAAGTGTATGGATAGAGGCTGAGAAGGTTTGATCATGCTGGGAACAAATCTTACACTGTGTCTTAGTTTTGGTTCTATTGCTGTGAAGAGACACCATGGCCATGGCAGCTCTTAAAAGGAGAACATTTAATTGAGTGGCTTGTCATCATGACAGGACATGGCAGCAACGCAGGCAGATACCTTACTGGAGAAGGAGCTGAGAGTTCTGCATCTTGATTGGCAGGCCTCAGGAAGTGCAGCGAACTAACTAGGCTTGAGAATAAGAGAACTCAAAGCCCACCTTCACAGTGACACACTTCCTCCAAGTACCTCCTAATAGTGCCACTCCCAGTGAGCCCGTGGGGGCCAATTATAAAAACATGTTTGACGCTGGAATACTGGCTGAAACTCTGACAGGGCCCAGCATGAAAACGTTAGAGCGAGAGTTGTCTCCTGGGAGGACACTTGCCTTGTTAGGAACAGAACATTGGAGGAGCCAGTCCTTGCGAGGTGACAGATGGAAGGAAAAGCCCTTTCCACGGAAGTGACAGGCAGGAGAATCTTAGTTTCAAAGCATTAGCAGCATTGTGCTCTAGAGTTTATGTTAGGCAGATCTGAGAGCCGCAGGCAGCTTGATTGGGCAGATTCCTAAGCAAAGCACTGAGTGTTCGGCCCCTGGTGTCCATGTGTTGGGGGAGCAGAGAGAAATGGGAGGAACTGGTAACTAAAGAGGGATGGTACTTAAGGATTGGGATGAATCTCATCATGGATGTATTTTAACAACAGAGAAGCGTATTCTGGAGGCTGCACGGAAGGAAGGTGGCTGGGCAGCAGTCTGTGAGGAGGCTGTAAACAGTCACATACGCTGAACCCAGGCGAAGAGGAAGGGCTACAGCAAGAGAAAACTGATGCCCAGGCCTAAAGGGGAGTGAAAACAGAGGCGGAGTGGATGAAAGAAAGACTTAGATTTTGGGAATTCTGCAGGACAGGACAACAGAGCTGTATGCATAAAAAAGAGGTTTTTTGTTTGTTTGTTTGTTTTTAATTTATTTTGTGTGTTTGAGTATGTGCAGAGCTGGAGTTGCAGGCAGTTTTGAGCAGCCTGCCTGACATGGGTGTTGGGAACTGAACTTGGACCCTTTGGAAGAGCAGGTCCTGCTCTAAGCCACTGAACCATCCCTCAGGCTTAGCTCTTGCTTTCTCTCTCTTGCTCTCTCCCCTCTCCCTCCCCCTTACTGTGCTTGTGTGTGTGTGTGTGTGTGTGTGTGTGTGTGTGTGTGTGTGTGTGTGTTTGAAGATTTCTTTATTTTATGTGTATGTGTGTTTTGCCTGCGTATGTCTATTCCTGGAGCCCACAGAGGCCAGAAGAGGGCATCTGATTCCTCGGGACTGGGACTGGAGTTACAGATGGCTGTGAATGATTTTTGTATGATAACTGTATGAAATAATGGGTTTAATTGTTACATTTTCATGCCTGTATGTTCTATGGTATTTATTTCTCACCTCTACTCTTCATCTGGGCTTCTTCCTGTCTCTCGTAGTTGCCCTTTTATTTTGCCCTCCTGCCGTCTAGGTTCCACCTGTGAAAGAAAACACTTGATTCTTGTCTTTCTGTTTCTGGCTCATT